TCTGAAATTTCATTCATCCCGCCTCTTATGAGAGAAATGTGCAGGTTATACGACCAAGTAATCTTGAAATTTTACATTGAAAAATAGCACCAGCACCAAGACCGAGCTGTAATGCAACGCAAAGCTACTTTTCAACAGTCAAACGAGACGGCATTTGACAGCAAAAGTCTCCATAACGGTGTTGAATGTAAGTTCATTAAGTTAGACAAAGTATTTTAAAGGAAGACATGCCACATTTGATGTCATAAAGCAAAAAAATTAGGTTTGTGGAAAAAGAAGCTATAGGAGTAGATCGAAATTCAAGTGTTCTTTGGTAAATTTTTATTTTGTTTTCGTTATCAGTGCTGTCAACTTATGCCTTAGCTAGCTCTTCCTGTTTCAAGCACTAGTTCACTTTTCCTGACATACGGTTGTACAGGGGGTAGGGAAAATTGATAAAGAACTGTTCAAGTGTTTTTCTGATACAATCAATGAATATCACTACCCTGTTAATCGAATTGAACTTTATAAAGCAGGTAGGGGCAGAATAGTTTATTTCTGGAAAAAGTATGCTTCACGCAAAAAATGTCTCCAACTCAGCTAATTTCCTAGAAATAGAGGGCTGCACAAATTTCATAACAATGACTACTTCACTGATTTACATGGTTTATACCGATTTAAAATGTTAACTATATTTTGTGGAAAACTTGTATAATGATAATAGTGTTTGTACTTAGTCGTAAGCATCATACGCCCTCATCAAATGTGACACTTCAGATCTTCAAAGCCGTTTCAATTCTCTTATTATACTCAACATGATCTGTATTTGTCCTTGCAATTTTTTCTTCCAACCAACATTTTAAGGTTACCTCTACGCTATGAGCTCCTATCGAGGAACAATCTATAATTCATGACACTTTTACTAGATGTACACCATCCTGTGTTGTTAAGAATCAGTAATACGAAGCGGACAAGTGACGTTATGCATAGACATTTCGCGGTTTTAACATCTCATTATAACAAGTGCTTTATAAGCCCAAAGATACAGTTTTTCTTCAAATAAAAATTTTTGATGTTGTAAGTTTCTGCTAATTAGGACTCAGAAAATACTTTTTTTGTATCTATTAAGTATATTTTTTAAATATATCTGTATTTATAA